TTATTGTATTTTAAATCTTTTATTTTGAAATGACTTTTCACCATATATGTAAGTATGAAAAAAGGCAATATAAATAAAGATGATGATGATGATGATTATTATTATTCATAATGTACATTTTTTGTAACTCTAAGTATGACAAAGGCTTTATAAATAAAGATGGTGATGATGATGATGATGATGATGTTGATTTTTATTATTATGATTATTATGATGATGATGATGATGATTATTATTATTATTATTATTGTTGTTGTTGTTGTTGTTATTATTATTATTATTATTCATAATGTATATTTTTTGTAACTCTGAGTATGACAAAGGCTTTATAAATAAAGATGATGATGATGATGATGATGATGATGTTGATTTTTATTATTATGATTATTATGATGATGATTATTATTATTATTATTATTATTATTATTATTATGTTGTTGTTGTTGTTGTTGTTATCATTATTATTATTATTCATAATGTCTATTTTTTGTAACTCTAAGTATGACAAAGGCTTGATAAATAAAGATGATGATGATGATTATGATGATGATGATGATGATGATGATTATTACTGTTATTATTGTTTCACTGTACTGTTACAGGCCTTCAGTCAGCAACATTATTAGAGTGTGCCATTAAAAAGTCACTCTTCAAAAAGACGCTTCAAGCATTCTTTAGTACAGAAAATTGTTCTATTTAGAACCATGAACAATCAAAGAACCCGTTCTTAAAGCATTCTTTGCATCATAACAGTGTTCTTCAGGTTGATTGAAAATGTGCATGAATGTGTTATAGGTTTCTATATAGGCTTCTATATAGCACCCAAAGGGGTTCTTCTATTGTTACAATCTTGATTCTGTAGCAATAGAAGAACCTTTCTGGTGCTATATAGAACCTTTTCAAAAAGGAATAATCTGCGGCACGCTCTCCACCAGTCTGAAGAACCCTTGATGCAAGGAATGCTTTAATCATGCAGAAAGTTCTTTGAGTGTTCATGGTTCTATATAGAACCATTTTCTTTACTGAAGAACCCTTGATGCACCATCTTTTTGAAAAGTGTATGATATCAGACTGGGTTATTCAGTCCTAGATAAAATTGAAAACAAAAAACATGCTGTATGACCAAAAATGCAGTTTAACGAATGACTGAACAGCACAAACTGTTCACAAAGTGATTCGCAAACTTTAACTGCACAGTCTGACTGGTTATAAATGTGTAACTACTGTATATCAGACAGTGTGGAGAGTCCAGTGAGATGTGGCCAAAGTTTTCATATTGACCCCTAGCCAAACTGAATTAACAACCAGCATGAGATAAACATCAACAACCCAGTCAGCGTCCAGCACAGTCTCTGCTCACAGAAAACCCAGCAGTGGTGGAATAGACAGCAAATCAGTAGAGAAATACTCCCCTCTAGTGGTGATCTAGCAACATTTCACCTATGCTTTGAAATAGTCCACTTTAAAGTGTTCAGAAACCTAATTTTCACTGCTTCTGTAAATGAAGCTGATCAGCCATGATATATTTGCTGTCTGAAGTTTTTTCTTTAGTTGTAGCACAGAAGCTATGAGGCTAATGTGGCTAACAAGTAATGGAGGCCTATGTACATTGATTAAGTCATCACTGGTAGACTTGATTATGTGGTTTCTGACACTGTATGACACACTGTAATCCATAAACATGGGTTGAAGTATGTAGTATAACTAAAAACAGTAGCAGGTATCTTGTCATAAATAGCAGTGTCATAACGTGTCAGAAGCTACTTAAGTTCATGTACTGTTCATACATTCACTGAGAACTTTATTAGGGACAACTGCCTTGTGTCCAGATTTAGGCCAAGTCCCATTTCACCCCTCTCCCCTACCACTTAGCCCTTAGCCCTTAGGGCTACATGGCCCCCCAAACGAAGGTTTTTCAGAGACACAATCCAAACAGAGTGTCACAACATACCGGCAAGATGGCTGCGCAAGAAAGAAACCCAGCCCTGCTAGATCTGCCCTGGTCAACTGTAAGCGCTATTGTTGTGAAATGGAGGCATCTAGGAGCAACAACAGCTCAGCCACAAAGCGGTAGGTGGACTCTGGAGCAGTGGAAATGCATTCTGTGAGTAGACGAATCACGCTTCTGATGGACGAGTCTGTGTTTGGTGAATGCCAGGAGAACGTTGCCTGTCTGACTGCATTGTGCCAGCTGTAAAGTTTGGTGGAGGAGGGATGATGCTATGGAGTTGTTTTTCAAGGGTTGGCCTAGAACCCTTAGTTCCAGTTCCATCTTACTGCTTCAGCAGACCAAGACATTTTCAACAACTGTACACTTCCAACCTTGTGGGAACAGTCTGGGGAAGGTACATAAAGGCCTGGCTGGGTGAGTTTGGTGTGGAAGAACTTGACTGGCCCTCACAGAGCCCTGACCTCAAACCCTTTGAACACCTTTGGAATGAACTAGAACAGAGATTGTGAGCCAGACCCTCTCGTCCAACATCAGCATCTGACCTCACTTCTTCTGGAAGAATGGCCAAAAAATCCCACAGACACACAACAAAATCTTGTAGAAAGCTTCCCAGATGGAAGCTGTTATAGCTACAAAGCGGGACCAACTCCATATTAATGCCTATTAATTTAGATATAAATACATATATTTGTGTGTGTGTATATATATATATATATATATATATATATATATATATATATATATATATACACACACACTCACATACTTATATAATATATGTCTACTGTTTATGCTTGTTGCAGTAGTAACTCATCTGTGGTTTATGGTGTTGGTATATAATTCACAGCTTTGTGTTGCTTGACCATGACCCGAAATAATGGAGGTCATTTTGCTTGCTAAAAAGTTTCCTGGCACAGAAAAGTGAGGGAGTAGGCTGTTAAGGGTATCCTCCCTTTTTCCCTCGATTTCCGTGTCCAGATCCGCCATCAATCCTGACCGGCGCTCAAGTTATTACGGCGCTGATTAAATTAGTAAAAGCAATCACACTCCTCATGCGAGTTAATTGATAGAATTTATTTAGGCTGGCGACAGCTTTATGCATGTTTGATTAAGTATTATAAGGTTTGTTTTTCTGATTTTGCATAATATATCTTTAAATCCCATGCAAAGTGATCAGCCGGCCCATTAACGAGCGTAATGAAGGCTTTTTAAAAACGTCTCTCTTTATGATGGATATAGCCGGTGATCTGTGCTGTCTGGCCTGCTGACAAATACAAGGGGTGCAATCTCACAGCCTGGCCATAAATCTGCCCTGTGCAGCTTAGCATGCTGGAAAAGTTAGACAGAGGTGAAAGGAAGTTTACAAAGGGCCCATATAAGAGTGGACGATACGGCAGAACTATGATATTGCGATACATCATGATATTTATTTTTAATGGACAAAATGCACCAGCAAAACGGTAATGGCAGACTATTGGTCTCCCTTGGCTGTACACCAGATGTGTGAACAGTGCTGTGAGGATTTGATTGAGCATTAGTGAGGTCAGGTACTGATGTTGGATGGTCAGTTCCAGATCACAACTCATCCCAAAGGTACTGGATGGAGCTCCACCACTCCAGGATACGCAGTTCCACCACTCCACAGCCCAATGCTGGGGGGTCTTATACCCTTCTAGCCGACGCTTGACCTTATTTGGCTGCTCCAGAGCATCACATTCTATTGGTCAATGCTTTACTATGGAGATTAGAGAAGTAATTGCTCAGTCTAACACAGTATTATTCGATAAAGAGTGCTTGGATACTTTTGGATATTCAATATATTTGCTACAGTGTTTAACTGTACCAATCAAAACAACAGGCATTATAATAGCAGTATACAATGCTTTTCTTGAAATGCCATTATTTTACTGTATAATTATATGTATTACTTTGTAATATGCTGTAATAATATGCTATTATAATATCAGTTATAATAACATGGGCTGCCTTCAAACAAGTCCAGAACTGAAATCACAAATAATCTTAATTCCAGACATAATTTCTAGATCTTCTCTATGTCCTAGTATTCAGCTGTATTCAGCTATTGGCTAGAAGCATTTTATAATAACGTATTTTCATTTTCTGAACCCTCACGTTACTAAATGCGCAGGAACCTGCAGGCCTACATCATGTTCTCAGCTTACTGCGTTATACACTCTAGCATCTCTGTTGTTCTGCGAACTCCAGTACACTCAATTTGTCCATAGACAGCTAAAGCTAATGTGTATAATATGAATTAAATATATTACGGCTATGCAATTATTGCTAATTATTGGCCATATATTACACAATTGTTGCCACAAGTTAATAAAGAGAAAGACAAAATTGAGTGGATGTAATACTGTTTATTGTATTCATGTGGTTAGTGTGCAGTTCAGTGCATTAGTAACTGAATCATGAGTCTTAAGGGGAATTCCACCAAGTGTAAAATGTAAAATGATTCATTGTAGAGACTCAGATTTCTTCACAGTGGTGGTGATAGGAACCAGGGCTAGTCATGACTACAACACAAATATAGCCTTCTTATTTACTACCCAAAACCACCATTGAACCTACACGTATCTTCTGAGTTTTATATAGAATGTTGATGATGGTAAAATAGTGGAAAATCTGAAAAAAAAAGTTTTCTTTTCGAACAATTTTGCTGTAGAACACCCTCCACCATAAATGGATTAAATAAATAGACTAAAATACATTTTAGACTAAAAAACTGTTGTAAAACAATGTCTCAGTCATCAGGCAGGATATTCATAACATTACATTTCATGTAGTAACTTTCTGTGAGGGAGCTTTTATAGGTGGACGTCTGGTTCCTATCACAGCCACTGTGAACAATTCTGACTCGATAATGTTTTTCTAGAAGAGAACATTTCGCATCACACCACCATGAGTAACTTTGTTGGCGTGTCAGACACTTACTTAGGCAGAAATTGGGAAAAATCGTTGGAGTTCCCCTTTAAAGCCCTCCGTTGCCAGGACAACCGGCGGTTGCCCTGTTTTGCGACATCACGTATTCCGTGCCGCTCCTTAAACCGCTACAAAAAGCTAGCGTTTCTATTAAACAGCAAAATCGTGCCGGAGGCGAAGTTCTTTCTGTCTCAGCTGGGCACCAGAAAAGTGTCTAAGGCCGAGGAAATGTGTCTGTGGGCGAATGTGCGATAATAAGACGGTAAGCCGCTTGTCTTTTGAGCAAAATGAACGATTGCTAACTTAGCATGTTAGCCGTCCAATAGACTTAGACGGTAGATAGCTGGGAGCCACATTAGCATGATGAGCTAAATACACCGCGAACAAACCGACCGTTTTCAGCTTATTTCTTCAGATTTTACCTTCAAATTCTTCTTTATTCTGAATCATATGTTCAAATCATCGATGTCCCAGCAGCTCTGTCCCTCCAACACTGCAAACACGGCAGATTAGACCTAAAAAAGATGGTTCTTCAAGGGTTCTTTAGTAAAAGCAAGGGTTTTACTTAGAACCATGAGATCTATATTAGCTACGGAGCTGTGCTGATGAATAAATAAAAACAATGCATGGCCATGACGTATTAATGGGTGGAAACGAGATGCTAATGCGTGGCCACGACTTAGTAAGGCGTGGGATCAGGATCATGCTTCAGTAAGCTGTGGTCTAGGCTTAATTGTCTTATTCCCACACCTTACTGAGTCATGGCAATGCATTAGGATCTTGTCCCCACAGCTTACTAAGTCGTGGCCGTTATCCTGTTCCCACGCCTTAGTAAGTTGTGGTTACTCTTTATTTTTACTATTATTTGTAATATTTAACACAATTTGTGTGCTTAAGTGATTCTTTGTATGGTGAAACGGTTCTTCAGACTGAGGTAGAATGTGTTGTGTATGGTTTCTTATAGAACCTTTTTGAAAATGGTTCTCTATAGCACCAAAAAGGGTTCTGCTGTTGTCACAAGCAACTACAAACAACAACTGTCCTCAATTTTATCATTCACTATTGATTCAGGCGTGACTATATATAAAGACGCAATTGTTTTAATGTAAGTTTTTTTTTTCCAGGTGAAAATGATGTTTTTACAGAGTAATGAATAATAGTGGCCTTACTTTTGGCCCCACTTTTAAAGGCTAATACCACCAGTTTTCAAAATTTTTGCATAATTCGGTGGTTGAGATGTCACCAAGGTCATTCTGAGTGGTTTGGTGTGTAGAGGCCAGGGATCGCTGTGTCTGCAACACAAATAACCATTTTATTTACTATCCAAAACCACCAGCGAACCTACACGTGTCTTTTGAATGGGTACACCAATCAGCCTTAACTGTAAAACCACCTCCTTGTATCTACACTCACTGTCCATTTATCAGCTCCACTGACCATATAGGAGCACTTTGTAGTCCATTTGTTTCTCTGCATACTTTGTTACCCTGTTCTTCAGTGGTCAGGACCCCCACAGGACCACCACAGAGCAGGTATTATTTGGGTGGTGGATCATTCTCAGCACTGCAGTAACACTCACATGGTGGTGGTGTGTTAGTGTGTGTTGCGCTGGTCTGAGTGGATCAGACACAGCAGTGCTGCTGGAGTTTTAAACATCTCAGTGTCACTGTTGGACTGAAAATCGTCCACCAATCAAAAATATCCAGCCAACAATGTCCTGCGGGCAGCGTCCTGTGACCACTGATGACGGACTAGATGATGACCAACACAAACTGTGCAGCAGCAGATGAGCTGTCGTCTCTGACTTTACATCTACAAGGTGGAGCAACAAGGTAGAAGTGTCTAATAGAGTGGGAGTGAGTGAGTGAGTGGACGCAGTGTTTAAAAACTGCATATCACACCAAACCACCCTGAATGATACTGTAAAAACAATGGTTTGGATTTACTTGATTTAAATACGTTGATCGGTTGTACATTAATGTTCAAGGTCTTGCCATAAGAGAAAATGACCTGCTAATTACATGTTTGTTATACAATGAACAAGTGGTGATTTAAAGTGACATGATTGAAAAGTGTCAGTTGCACATAAAATAACCACCATTGCATATTTTGCATCTTTTGGCAGTGATTATGTTAATATAACACATTTTTTATTTTTGTGCAACTGACCTTACGCATTTTAACCCCTTAAAATCTCAAGTGTGTTACATATTGTTGAGTAAATGTTTTTCTTTTCTGGGGTGATAAATCTGAAAAACAGCCTTACAACGCCCTGCATGTATCTCTCGGCCATGAATGTGTATTTAAATATATGTTTAATCTCATAACTATCATAAAACAATGTCTCAGTCAGCAAGCACCTGATCTGAAATAAATTAATGGTAATAACTGTGAGGGAGCTTTGGGCGTCTGATTCCAATCACCACCACTGACTTGTTGAGTTTCTCTAGAATGGAGCATTTCACACCAAACCACTGCGTTTACATCTTAAACATCTTAATCAACAGGAAATTTGGAAAGTTGGTGGAATTCCCCTTCAAACCAGAACTCACCAGTGGCTTTTGGCCCTATAAGAGGTTAATCATGTAAATTCAAGATGCTTTACTTCAGTGTTTATTTGTTATATCTCTTTATTCCTGGTAGGATCCTGCTGTCGGGTGGCAGAGCCGACAAAGCAAGAGGGTCATGCAGTGGACATGAGGTCAAGAGGTCATTCCCCTGCATTAATCCACAGCACTCCAAGCTTACTGCACGTTCTCTTTCACTGTAATGCCTGAAGCGACCCATGAGGCATCGGAAAGGTCCTGCCAGCGGGCCTTCCTAAAGCCAGGGGCTTTCCCAGCCCACTCATGCCTGTGATCCCGATCCCGCGGCGGGTGCGCTCCTTCCATGGCCCCCACACCACCTGCATGCACTCGGCCTGCGGTCCGGCGCGCACCTCCCAGCTGGTGCGCACCAAGTACAACAACTTCGACCTGTACCTGAAGTCACGCTGGATGTACAGCTTCGTCCGCTTCCTGCTCTACTTCGGCTGCAGCCTGTTCACCTCCCTCCTCTGGGTGGCGCTGTCGGCGCTGCTGTGCCTGCAGTACGTCTCCGTGCGAATCTTCTTGCGCCTGCAGTACAAGCTGTCGGTCATTCTGCTGCTGCTGGGGCACCGGCGGCTGGACTTCGGCGTGCTGAATGAACTCTTCATCTACAGCATGCACGTCACCATGTTCTTAGTGGGCGGCTTAGGCTGGTGCTTCATGGTGTTTGTGGACATGTAGGTGTCGTTGATGACGCTAAGTTTGAGCATCGACAGTGAAAAAAAGTGATGCACTGATATTACTCCATTTATTTTCACGTGAATTTAATATATTACATCAGCCGGGGATGCACGATGGTACCAGAACAGAACTGGCATTAGCAGATTGTTTAAAAAATGACCAACACTGGGCTGATGCTCAGATTGGAGCCATAATTCATATTGATATTCGGCGCATTGATTTTACAATTCAGAATTTTGGATTCATCTTTCAGATGTTTGTAGTCAGTGAAAATCCTATTCACAGATAATCCAATGCATAAAATGATTCTAATATGTTCATCCAGGTCTCAGATAGTTAGTAGGAAACTTAGAATCTGAACAAAAATTAGATGCTTTCAGAACAAACAGAGCTGTAGATCATTCTGAAATGAGAAAGTTGCAAAACATCAAGAATTTCTAATTTCTAATAAAGTTAATATTCAAAATTAACTGTATTTGAAAAATGATCAAATCTTGAGCTTGATAGATCATTATATATAACTATGATTTGATCATTAAATATAATTATATATTACACGTTGTCAAAAAATCTCCAAAATGGTAATTTTACAAAAGAAAGAAAAACATAAAAGCTAATGGAAACAATTATTTTCAAAGTTATTTTCAAGCATTTCTATTGGATGATTCATCACAATATTTGATATCAATAAAGAGCAGCTGAAGTTTCAGATTCAAAAAAAATAATTAAGTGACAAAAATGAGATGCAGTTTTGTTCAGACAGTGATGACATATAACTTTATAGTTACATATAATACTAATGAAATATCAATTTTAAAATTTTAGAATTTTAAAAAGCAGTTGTATGTAATGGTCGTGCCCTACGATGGACTGACTGGTGGCCTGTCCAGGGTGTTGCCTGCCTTCCGCCCAGTGACCGCTGGGATAGGCTCCAGCACCCCCTGCAACCCAGGAGGACAAGCAGTTTAGATAATGTGTGTGTAATAATTAATTTATAATTTCTTGTTATTTTAAAAATCTTTGAAATATGAACTAAAACATCTAAAAAACGTTTAGATGTATAAGTTTTTAAAATAAATAATGATTAATAGGATATGTAATTGGAGACTATTGAACGGTGGGATACTGCGCTAAAATGTTTGCATGTCACTAATTTTATTAAATGTATTCAGAAATAAACATTGCATTTCTCTGTAATGCTGACACAAACAGACATAATCTCAATCTCAGTAGTTTAAAATGTACGATATATAAATAAATTCATGAATATCAGATGTCGACATCAGCCCAGTGCAGAAGTCCAGAGAGGCCATGAGGTAGTTATAATTTTCTGGACTGTTGTTTGGAGATAACAAGTTAATTATCTTGTTATCTTGAAATAACAAAAGTTGTTACCTAGAGATAACAACTTAATTATCTTGTGATCTCAAAATAACAAAGTTGTTATCTTGAGATAACGAGTTATTTATCGTGTTATCTCGAGATGACATTGTTATCTTAAAATAACGAGTTATTTATCTTGCTATCTCAAAATAACAGAATCTTGAGATAACAAGTTATGTATCGTGTAATCTCAGGATAAAATTGTTAACTTGAAATAGCAAGTTACTTATCTTGTTATCTTGAGATAACAACAGTTGTTATCTTGAGATAATGAGTTAACTATCTTGTTAACTCGAGATAACAAAAGTTGTTATCTTAAGATAATGAGTTAATTATCTTGTGATCTTAAAAATAACAAAATTGTTATCTTAAGATAACGAGTTACTTATCTTGTTTTCTCAAGATAACAATCGAGAAAAATATACCAATAGCTCATGGCCTCTCCGGACTTCCGTAGCCCAGAATTCCCATATAGGTGCATCCCTACACAGTTTTGGCCAAAGAAGTAACTGTGTTGATGTCGTGTATTTCACTCATGTGGAGATGATGCATCACAGAATCTGGTAAATCCAGTGCAGCACTATTTTTCAGTGAACTGTCTGACCTGGTCTCATCAGTGTGTCACCTGTTTTTTCTACACTAATGGACATTATTACAGTCCACCCACAACCAGGCACTACTGAACTCATTTAATGCCTTGAGGACCAACCCAGAAGAGCCTAGAAGGCTTGGATCAAGTTCGTCAGAGCAAAACATGCTTGCATTAATTCAAAATGTTACACTGTAGATAGAACTGTTTAGTAATAAGGCTGCAGTCGTTATGTGTTAAAGGAATAGTCCAGCATTATTAACACCTAATCTCTGTTTGCTGCATTTGTAGCGTGCTGTTAATTACCACAGACGATAATTTCGGAATGTTTTCCTCAACTTAGAAAAGAACAGAGAACCAGTTGACTCCAAACTCGCTTACAGTGGAAGCCAGTGGGCAGACGCTGAATCAGCAGAAGCAGCAAGTTTCATTATTTTCTAACTATGGGGAAATTACTGTCTGTGATAATCGAGCACATGCTACAGACGCAGCAGATGAAGATTATGTTGAAAACGTTCTGCTGGAGTTTTCCTCTAAGGTTTGTTTAGTCTGGTTGCTTTAACTTAAGTGGAGGAAGTGTCATGTTGTCTCGAGTCGGTCATCTGTCATAACACAATGACCTCTTTTTGTTGTTCTGTGCCAATGTGCCCGACCGCCACCTTTCATTCCAGTGCTGTCGTAACTAAACCTTCGCATCTCCAGAACGGTAGCTTAACAGAAGAATGTTCTTAAAGGGCAATTCCACTGATTTTTCTAAATTTCTGGGCAACTGGGTGGTTGAGATGTAAACAGAGTGACCCAGAGTGGTTTGGTGTGAGACTTCCTTACAGTGGTGCTGATAGGAACCAGGGGTCGCCATGACTACAACACAAATATAGACATTTTATTTACCATCTGAAAAATGTCCGGGTTCATAAATGGGTTTTAAGAACATGTTTTAGGCCAAAACTATATTTCAAAACTATCCTGAAACAGTGTCTCAGACATCAGGCAGTGCATTCATAACCATTTCATGTAATAGTAAGTCTTCAGATGTCTGGTTTCAGTCACCACCACTGTGAACAACATTCCAGTGACTGCTCATTTAACTAGGCAAATTTTGAAAAAGTTGGTGGCATTCCCCTTTCATTTTGGTATATGTAAATGTAGCAAGATTTTGGGCCATGTCTATTGGTCCATCATAAAGGGTTCACACAATACACGTCAGCGTTTAAAATGCTGTAAAAAGAAAATAATAAATGAGAATAAATGGAGAGGTTTTGATATGACAGCGATAATAAGGAGTCGTCGCATGATGTAGAGGCTGGGTTTAGTAAGAAATCTTCAGTCATGGTTGTTATTTTGCTGAGCGATTGGTTTGGGCTGTTTCAGGTTACTTAGGCCACTCGCTCTAGACCTGTTACTCCGATGCCAAGCAGACCACGATCGCAACGCCCCCGTGTTGCCCTGCGCTGCGTTCAGGCGCCAGCCCGGCATGAGGCTGAAACTGGTTCACACAATCTGCTATTGTTCGGGGATCAAGACATCATATGCCTCATACTTGGCCGAGCGTTCGCTTTTGTTTCTCCTAAATGAAGGCGCTCCGCTGACATTTATGCCATTGTAAACATGTCAGAGCTAACTGAGTCTGTATCTATGTGCTAATAGACAGATATTCCCCAGTCAAGTGCCACTGATATCCATTCATAGCAGAGTTCACCGGCCTCTCAGGAACAGCAGTTTCTTTTTCAATAAACCTGTTTACAGTTTAAGACGTCTGTGTTTTCTGTGTTTTTTAGGAGCTGTATTTGTGTTACAGTGTGTCTACAGTGAGAAGATGAATTTTAGCTGATTTAAATGTGCCCATAATTTCCATATGTATTATGCATACGACACTGACTGCATAACCTGCAGTTATTGCCCAAAGTAACTCAAAGATGTGATGTCAACATAATATATTTTATTCACATGCGATATTTTGTACGCATTTGAATCAACCAATTTTAAAATGTTACTGTCCTCAAGCCTGTCTATATATACGGTTATTATATATAGATATATAAATTACTATTCATTTGCTGAATTTAATATGAGGAAAAAATAAAAACACGTAGCACATTTTTTATTTTAATGTTTATTTAAAAAAGGTGGCATATTTAAAGGAGAACTCCACTGATTTTTCAAAAATTCTTCATAATTAAACAGTTAAGATGTAAGTCATTCAGAGTGGTTTGGTGTGAAATGCTTCATTCTAGAGAAACTTACCGAGTCAGAATTGTTCACAGTGGTGGTGATAGGAACCAGACGTCCACCTTTAAAAGCTCCCTTTAGAAACCATTACATGAAATGGTTATGAATACACTGCCACTATTTTTCCATCATCAACATTCTATATAGAAGCTCAGAAGACACCTGTAGGTTCACTGGTGGTTTTGAATAGTAAATAAAACAACTATATTCGTGTTGTAGTTATGGTGACACCGGGTTCCTATCACCACCACTGTAAAGAAATCTGAGTCTCTACAGTGAGCCACTTCACACCAAACCACCCTGAAGCACTCTGTTTACATCTTAAGGATGGAATTATTTGGAGATTTTGAAAAAAGGGTGAAGTTCGCCTTTGAGTTCTTTGTAGAAGACATGTTAACCACTTACATGGCCAAAGTTGTACTACACACTTTCATAAATTAAGAACAGTTCTGCCTGTTTGCATTGAAGTTGTGTATATATATATATATATATATATATATATATACACACACACACACGCACACACACACACACACATATATATATATATATATATATATATATATATATATATATATATATATACACGGTCATACTTAATCATTTCCCACCTCTCTGGCTATTTTTGTTACTGTACCTTTAAGCCTGATCAATGTAAATGGCTGTTCTGATTGGCTGCCAATATGTAAATGCATAGTTTTCTGTGGCGTCACAAAGACTGTGAATTCTAAATGGGCTTGGTTTCCATGTACGGACTGTATGTCCTGGAGAGTGAATGGTGTGTTTTAAAACAGTGCTTATATACTTCAGCTAACTGTTATTTACGAAAAGGGAAGGAAAATTCCATGATATCTGCCCTTTAAGGCACTCAACTAAATAGACGATGTGTGTTGATTTTTGGTTTGAACCTTTCAAAACTGTCCTGTTTAGGAGAGTAGCTTGTTGGTTCCCGTCTAAACTCATGTCCTGACAATGTCAGCATTGACCCTGTGAACACCCTGCTGTGTGAGTCAGCTGTCTCTGACGATGATGATGTCTTATGTTTAAAGCAGCTCATGGAGGAGTTCATGTCTAGATTTAAGCACAACGTTGCAAAATGAGCACCAAAACACTTTGTATGCTGTTCAAGCTCCACATTTCAGTTGAGAACACACACATTAGTTTTACAGTGCAAAAAAAAAAGATGGGTTTAATTGTAATATCTATAATTTCCACATGAATAAAATACATCACATAAGCACAGATACTGCTAATAGAAAGTAAACTGAGAGGCAGTAATTGTAATACATGCTATATGTGTATAACATATATATAACATGTTGTATTCAAAATTATTCATAATTATTCAAAAGTTATTCATGTGGAAATTCTATACATATTTGAATCAAATCAATTCAATATATGTTATTTTGTAATAATAATAAGTGAACAGAACAAAAGTCAGATTATTGTTCTTTTAACTTATTATTATTGGAAGTTTAATGATGACATGAGCTTATGGTCACCATGTCCAATGCCAAGCATGGGCTAGAGGGGTAAAAAGCCCCCCAGCACTGGGCTGTGGAGCAGTGGAACTGTGTTCTCTGGAGTGATGGAGCTCCATCCAACACCTTTGGGATGAACTGGAGTGATCCAGAACTGACCATCCAACATCAGTACCTGACCTCACTAATGCTCCACCAAATCCTCACAGCAATGTTCACACATCTAGTAAAGCCTTCCCAGAAGAAAGAGTAGGGGCTCATACTGCAGCAAAGAGGGACAAACTCCCCATTAATACCCTTCATTTCTGAAGATAGCAGGTAGACATGTAGTCTTAAACAGCTCAAAAATGGGTGAAACAGAAAAGGGGATCATGTAAATTTTGAGGAATGGCCAAAATTGGCTGCCCAGACATATTTTATACTATACTATACTAAACTATACATCAAACTCAACCATTAAAAGGGCCATATTAAAAAATCTCATCGAATCTGTGGGCCAGCTGTTTTTATTTTTACTTAACATTTTGCCATGAACCCACCTGACCACTGATTATTCATAATACACCAAAACTACAACAGCAAAAAATAGGCACTGAATATTTGAATGGTTCAAAAATAATTTTAAATAAAAACTAATTGTTTTATATAAAACAGTAGACGACATCAGCGACAGATCACTGTTAAACCTCTTTAAATGTCCCCAATGTACAGTAGGTGCCCATTTGCTTGAACTAGAGTTTTTTTGTGGTGCTGCCCCATAGATCAATGTTGGGAGGGGGTGGGTGCACACATTACGTTGCAGTGCATGCTGGGGACTGTAGTGCAGTTCAATGGACCAATATCAATAGAAATTTTAAATAATTTCACAGGCCGAATAGGATTGTGCCACAGGCCTGACTGGACCCACAGGCTGTGTTTGACAGATGGGCTGTACACAGTACAGAACCACAGC